GAAGCATATATGGTAACAAAGCGTACACAGCCGTTCTCATGGCCGAAGTTTCTGTGGCTAGCCAAACAGCTAAAACACGCACCATGGCACAAACAAAGGATTTTTCTTTTGGAGGTAACTTATCTTTGTTCTTATCATTTGATACTTTAGTTAAAACTGATATTACAGCTGAAAAGGCACCTTTCAATGCTGTGTATATTGTTTGCTTTTCCTTTTGTTCCAAATCTAAAGTATCATTGGCCATATAAGCTACAGAAAGTTCTAAGATTATAAAACATGCTGAAATTAAATCACCATTTGCCAAAGCTTGCTTTAAACTTTTGTCATCCATCTGCATACGAACTTCAATTGCACTGAGTTGTAGGAGAAGCAGAAAGAATTGCTTGGGATTTTCTTCATTTCTCAATGTCCATTCCACACCTAAAACATCAATTACAGCAGATGCAAGTTTCAATGCTGGGTCTCGTTGGTTTTTACCAATGCGGCTGCCCAATATATCACTTAAACCTTTAAACAAGCTGCCAGGCCAAACTTCAGTGTCAGCCGTTCGACCAACAATGCTACGTCTACAATTAAATAATAGAGCTCCAAGTATCGAACACAAAGTAAATTTTCTCTCTGTGTGATCAGTTTCAAAATCCAAGCAAATACGATTTAATAAAGCATGAAAATTTTTAGGATCTAAATCCCAAGCTGAAGGGCCAAATTTACTGACCAATGTAACTATTAAATTCAGGGCTTCATCAGTCTGAAAACTTTGTTGAGCATATATTTGAGACATCTTACCAATAGCGCCTCCTTCAAGCAATGCTTTCTGCCCAGGTTCATATGAAGCTATGCTCTGAAGACAACTATAAGCTTCGCTAACAACAATCAGATTATCATCGTAATCATCATCATCAGCTGTTTGAACTATATCCAAGAAAACTGGAATGTTTTCCAACATTTCTTTATGTGTAGCGAGTTCTTCATCTTGACAAAAACATGTAAGTATTGATAAAGCAACACTCTTATATACAAGTGGGGGACAATCTTCGGGAACATCGGCACTTAGTAATAACTTCTTCAAAAACTTGAATCCAATGGCTTCGAAGAGAGCCTTCTTAGCAACTGTTGTACAATCTTTACCCTTCACTAACTTTGTCACCATAAATAACGCGGCAAATTTTTCCGTGTCGGTTTTTGCACTTTGTAAAATAAGGATACATTTTTTAACAGGTTCAGATATTGAATCAGCCATGGTTAATGAACACTTAAAACATTAATCCAGCCAGCGTAGCGGTATGTAACTAAATGCGTTTAAGAGATGAAAGTTAGGTTATTTATAACTTACGATAGAGAGCGATCCGGCCTATATTGGGAAATGTACGCGTCACTAAAACTTCGACTTTCCAGCATAAACTATATTACATCTGTGCACAAACACTACGAAATATCAATGTTTTCATGTTTATTTTAAAACTTGGCACCAAAATAGAACGTGTTGAAGCCATTTTAAGAGAACTGTCAAAACACCCTGCGACATCTTTGAGCAATCGCTAAACTCGAAGCGGCATCTAGCAATATTTTTGGAAACAATGAAATAATGAAGAAAAACCAAAAACGCGATTACAAAATGTAGATTGTTACTACATATATGAACAAAGTTTTCTTATTCACGTATTTTTTATGTTTTGCTAAAAGATTTTATTAAAACACATTACCGCCATTTTGTACAACTGTCAAACGCACAGCGCCATCAAACGGTTCATTTGGAAAAACGCGGTTTCAACCAACAACGAGGCAAAAATGACATGAGCACTGCTGCGACAAACTTATAAAATAATTTACAAAAATAATCATGCAAAATTGTTATTTTTACGTACCTTCATACAAGCCAATGTATCCGCTTTTCTTGTCGGTATCAACGTGTTATCTAAGTCGAAGAACAATGCTGATATCGCATTTTGTTTCTGAGCACGCGAAGCTGCCATCTTTATGTGTCAGGGCACTATTGTCAAATGATAATGGACTCAGCCGCAATGGTTATGGAAGCTAGCAACTTTTCCGGCAACGGAATCGACCAAGATCAATACTTAATTCTAACCAAACAATAAAATTATCTAGTTTCTTGCGAGAATGCGCGAACTTTGTGCGCAAACTATTATCTTATTTGATTTTCTATATTTATAGAAATTGATAATTTTAAGAACTATTGAAATGCGACATCGCAGAATTATTTCACATACAACGGTGAACAACGCATGCGACAGACCCGGGACAATTGTCTATATATAACGGTGAGGTTTGTTTTTTCTGTGCAATTTCAACAAACTAATAAATTTATTTATCGGAATTTATTATAATTTTGTCAAAAACATCTCTTGTGGAAGGTTTGATTTCGAATTATCTCTTAATTCTTCATAAAAGCTTTAAATTCCAAACAAACTATAATATTAATGATTAAGGATGGCATGCCATTTGAATAAATGTTAGCAATGAAGTAAATTATTACACACAAAACAGGTTAAAAACTTAGCATGTTAAATATTTTAAAATTGATCACACACTATAAAATAATATTATAGTATTATTTTCAACAAACTATAATAATAAACTATGATTTATTTAAAAGTTATAGCGAGTAATGTTTATTCTGAGTACTCAAAATTGGTCTTTTTCATTGGTTCCAAAATATACATAAAAAACAAAATATTGTTGCACTAATAAGTTATCATTTTTTTATTTTAATATTAAAAAAATGAAAAAAAAATACGTTTACATATATATTTAAATATTTTTTAACGTGTAAGATAAATTGAAATGTATACATATGCAAATTTTATTCGATTACATTTCACTTACATAAATATAAAACGCAGAAGTTAAAACTAATTAATATTGTGACGTATTTTCTAATCAATAACAAAATATTGTCGATGCTTGATATGTAAAATAATAAATATTAGCAATCGAACTCTATAACAATAGGATAAACAAAAAATAATATTTGCGTCGTTATGGACGGTTAAAAAACTATCATAAATAATATAATTTTGTTAGTATAAATAAAAGAATAATATCAATACTTATATAATATACGAAAAGTGATTACATTTTTAGGTTATGACCAACTAGGGAAAGTGAAGAATGCAGAGTGCAAGTCTATAAAAATTATATAATGTATTAGAAAAGATAGAAACATATAGAAACAATTCAAAAATTTAAATTTTACATAGCAATTAGAGTCAGTCTTGACGATGAAAAAATAATATAGTTATGATATTTATATTTTTGTAAACGATCAGATTTTTTAATAAGTTTTGTTCATTTTTAAGAAATATATTATTAAATTATTATACTTCTACACTTGCATCAAATATTTGAAGTGAGAATTAAAAATAAGTTATCACCAGTTAAGACCATGGTTTCCAACCTGTGGGGACCAACCCCTCATGGGGGGTTAATTTAACAAAAATGATAAATAGATATAAGAAATGAATGAATAAATAATAATTGTTTGTGTATATTTTTACATAATATTGTGCATTTATATATAGCCTGATAAATATATTTATAAATTTATTATTATAATAATTTATAAATTATAATATCAACTGAGTATTTATAAAATCACGTTGCTAGAAAATTTAAGAGTGTCGCAACTATAGATAAATAAGTATAAATCTTTAGCATAAATAAGATCGCAACATCTTTCTTTAAATAAGGGGGAGGGGGTATGAAAAGGTTGGAAACGACTGGCTTGTGATATTGAACTTAAAGGGACTAACAACTGCTTTCAATACTTTTTATTAGTATTGATAATATTTGGTTTATTAGCACTTTTAATTAACTTTCCGTAGGGTAAGTTATAGCAATGGGCCGAAAATCGAAAATGAAAATTTTTGCATTTCTTCGCGTTTCAGAGGTTTCTTTGGCATACCTCAGAAAAAATGGATGTGTTCACGTTTTCGGGCGTACTGATCAACCGATTTGGATGATTAAAAAAACATTCGATTCTTATTGATAAGGAGATATGTTGATTAGTTTTTCGCAAAGGCAGGTTTAGCCGTTATGGAGATACGGAGCAAAAAGTGAAATCGAGTTTATGAGAGAACGGAATCATCTAAAAACATTCAATTTGTAATGATTTGGAGAAGTGGTGATTAGTTTTTGGAAAAGGCAGGTCCAGCCATTTCGAAAATACAAGAGCTAAATGTACAAAAAGTGGCAGTTTTTGAGAAAACTAAGCATCCGATTTCAACAATTCAAAAAACTTTCTGCTTGTGTTGATGAAATAATTACTTTTGAAAAAAAATCAATTTTTTTTTTGAATATTGAAATTAATTGAGATTTCAATTTTAATTCTGTTTAAAGTTCTAAAGCTCACTTATATATTTTAAGTGAACAATTTTAATTTTGTAATTTAGTTTATATTATTCTTATAAATATTAGACAACGTTAGAGTATAATCTATTCGAAAGCATTTAATATTCCTCGACCATTTTGTTACGGTACGGAAAGTTCCAGCAATTTGCCTTAAAGCACGATGCTATACACCACTAGTTATTATTTAAATAGTTCAAATAAATATCATAGAAGAAACATTGGCAACGAATATCGAAGTACTATATAAGTGGAGCAAACTTTTCCATTACTTTTATAATTTATTAACACGTAACAAATTGCGTCATATAAAATATTTACTAACGTATGCTACTTGGATATTATGATTTAGTTATCGAAAAATCGCCAATTCAAATTTGTAAAGCATACAAAAGTCAATTCAATAAGTCATATAATTTTATTAACAAATATACAATTCATAATACATGCGTTTAACAAGGTTATATAAAAACATTGGAATATATCATTTTTATAAAACAACTACAATCATGAAATGTAATAGAATCACGTATATAAAAATGTTAAAATGCATATTGTTCGAAATATTGTTCATAAAATAATAATTAAAATATTTTTCAAATATTTTGGATATGCATTATATATTATTATGTATGCAATATAGTTTTTTTTTAATAATCAGTCGTTGTGCGTACATAAACCTTACCTGAAGGCATAGAAACAGTGTCAACACCTTTGGGGAACAATTTGGCTGCTTCCTCATTCTGAACGGATGGCAGGATCATTACTTTTTCACCGGGCTGGGAATAAAAAATTGATAGATTTGATTATTAAATTCATAATACAATATATTATAGGTGTATTTAACTATATTTGAATTGATATTAATTGATAAGCTGTTGTGATGGACTTTTTTTAACTACGTGGCTTTGTTAGAAGGCAACCCAACAGTGAACCTTTCTATTCATGTATTTTATTATTGGAATTTCTGTAATAGGTAAGATTTTTAATTTGATGAATGGTGGCCAAGAAAATGACTACAGACTGCTTGGTATCAGCTTGTCCGAGGTTGGTATTGAATCCCATTTAAAAGAACAAAGCTCTAACCACTAGACACGGAGAAGCCCATTCATAAAACACTATTTATAATTTTATTAAATTAATAACTTTGCAATATATACATCTAAATATAAACCACTTGTATGACAAATAAAGAGATAGAGATATTTTATATATGATTATATGTAACAAGTGGATTTTTTTTTGAATAAACGACTAAGAAACTAAATTAGAGAAGATTTCTGCCATTACTCTATATTCTATATCTATATATATTTATGGCCACGGATATTTCCTCTTTGCTGAATTTTTAAATTCAAGTTGGAAATTCAGTTCAGAGTTGTAATTCAGATTTTTGCATAAGAAAAAATATCAAACGTTTAATTTATATTATTTTTTTCACAAATAAAATGAATAAAGGAGTTATTACATATCAATTATCATATTTGCTCTATTGCGTTTATATAAAAACCTGTTTAAGTATTAAATTTATAGATTTTTTTAACAAGATACAAATTTTACTTTTGTTGAAAATTATTTTAGATTAAATGATAAATGTTCTTATCACAACTGAAACAAGATATTCGATATTGATTATAATATCTATATATTACTATCTAGAATCAAGACGAAACAAACGATTGAAATTAAATTGAAAAAAAAAAGATAACCCTTATCTGCAAACTGTGATTTTAAATCCGGTTATAAATGATATTATTATGAACTCAATTAGTTGAATTGTTAAATACTAAGGTCTAATAAGACAAGAGATTGATATATTTATCAATCCACCCTAAATTAATTTTAGCTGCATAATAAAGTGCAAATGAACAGCTGGTGCATAACTGGACAAATGAATTCTGCACAGTAAGTTCTTATATGGACAGCAAGGAATTTTTTTTTATCGTATATCAACTTTTAACATGGAAATAGTAAAAATGGTGTTCAAGTGAGACAATAGCCAATGGAATATTTGTATTCAGAAACGTGATTTAGAGGAAGATGCACAATGTTAAAGAATGTAAATTTATATGAAGCAACTGTTTGCTAATGAAACAAATAGGGATTCACGCAATTTTTCACCTCAAATTGGTAGATTTTTTTAGATAAAAAATTATTATGTATTATTATTAGTTGTATATTATTATTATAGAAAGTTATTAGAATAAAATACTTACAACCCAGTTGGCAGGCGTGGCGACTACTTTCAGACGATCAGTCAATTGCATAGAGTCGATCACACGTAATACTTCGCTGAAATATCAAAAATAAGTCAATTATTGATACGTTTATTTATAAATAATAATTTTTTTTTTATTATTTTTTATATATTTATTTTTTTTATATTTTTTTAGGATTTTATATATCACCCATTTTTTTAAGTAAAACTTCTTTAGGCGCGACTAGGGTGTAAATGCGTACAAATGCAACGGAAATGCGTTACGCCCGAACTGGACGCCATTCGCTCTCGATGAAATCATTTCAATACGGGTCGATTGTGATTAGTCGCCGTGTATGTGAATAGAGATCTGTTATTGTATGCGTACCAGCAACAACGTTGTATGCGTACCGATATCAACAAGGAAATCGGCATAAATAAATAAACATTTTAAAGTTACATGGTAGTACAAATCTTGATTTAATGAAAAATGCCTGAATCAGAAGAATATTTTACCCTGTTCTTTGAAAATACTAAATCAAATTAAACATTTGTGTTAAGTACTAAACGTAAGTTTATTTATTAGATTTCTATATTATTCGTAGTTTCTATAAATCTTTGAAGTTATTAAAATAGAAAATATATTTAGACAAGACAGATATTACAGCTGTTTGATCGCCGGCGATAAAGTAAAAAAATACAAGCAGTCAATAAATGTATGTTAATTTCAATTACATGATGAGTTGCGAAAGCAATATTTGTTTAGGCGTTGTTTAACATAATCCACTGTGTGAACGAATATTATAGAATTTATTAATCAGCAATTCTCTAATGAGATCATGTCATATATGAAGAATGACTTTAATTACATTATTGTTTTTAAATATTATACATATTTTTAATGCTATTATAAATATATAATTATTAATTTATCATTATATAAATGTGTATAATAGTTTACACTAATAAATGTGTGCATCATGAGTGTTACCATATTACTAATAAACATTATTCAAAATTGTTATATGATGTATTTATTTTTACTTAACTTAAAATTGCTACTTTTGTACAGTACCAAATAAGTTTTGCTTCAATCGCATGTGAACCTTACGCGCTTTCTTTTTTTTTAATTACATTAGTGAATAATAACATAAATATAAATAAAATAGAGTACAATATAAAGGATAGTATTTTAATTAAAATAATAATTCACGGAAATAATAAACAGAAAAGCAAATAGATATTTTAAAATAATTTAAGGTTCTCAAATTTATAGTGTTGCTGGTATGTAAGTATTCTGCTCTGAACATAGATTTTGTTACAAATAAATCATATTTTGTTAAAAATACTTCGGGATTTTAAAAACCGAACCTATATGGTTATTGATGTTGTCATGGTTAGCAAGCGTACTTTTAAATTGTTTGTTTCTTTTCTAAATTTTGAAACGTCTGTCCATTATACTTATTAATCTATGCGTCTGTCAATGTATGAAGAAACACAATCCAAACAGTTGATTTTGTAACTTTTTTTTTTTATTTATTTTTCATAGCAAGCTATACAAAGTACATTCAGCTACATTTTGTAACTAAATCTTTTTTTGGTTTCTCGAAAGTTTCATAAAGTTTAGTTTCGTAGTATTAATTTTTACACTGAGGAAAAGGCAAATCGCATAATTAATAATCATCCTACTACCAAAGTTTACCAAATGTATGTAAATGTGTGTATTAAATTAAAATTTTATTAATACGTACTCGACATTACGTCCTGTGCTGAATGGGTAAACCATGGCCAATCTCAATTTGTGGTTCGGATCGATCACGTACAAAGACCTGACGGTCATGGCATGAGCGGGGTCGTCCTTGTGCTCTTCGTCGATCATGTCCAAGGCAACCGCCAACTCGCGTTTCGGATCGGAAATGATTGGGTATGGGAATTTTCCGGGGATGTCCTGGCAGTAAGACTTGATGTCCTGGAAAAAGTTCATTTTAATTAGTAAAGAATAGATTATATTATTTTCTTAGACTTGTAAGAACGGAATCGATATTATGATATTATGAATTTTTAACTTCCCGTAGGGTAAGTTATAGTAATCGCAAAAAAAATTGAAAATGAAAATTTTTATATACCTTTACGTTTCAAAGGTTTCTGAACATTTTCTCATACCCTAGAAAAAATTGATGTATGTGTGTGTATGTGTATGTGTGCGGATACAAATCTGAATACACGATTAGAATAATTCAAAAAACATTCGATTCGTATTGATAAGGAGATGTGCTGATTAGTTTTTGGCGAAAGCAGGTTTAACCGTTCCGGAGTTACGGGACAAAAAGTGCCAAAAACGATTTTCAAAAAAACATTTTACTTGTATTGAGAAGATGAAGGACTGAATAAATTTTTGGTAAGGCAGGTCTAGCGGTTTCGGAGATCTAGTAAAAAAAAGTAAAAAAAAGCCATTTGGCAGTCAAAAATAATTATAAAATAGAATATTTTATTATTAAAAGCATATTCATTATGAACATGTCCTTTTAGTATTATTTTCACCCATATCAATTAAATTCATAAAGATAAGCTCTTGAATGTTTTCAATTAAAATAATTGCACTTATTTAAAGATGGTCATCGTGACGCTACACAATTATATTGAATTAAAATAGATAGTCGTTGATATTTTATGTCTATTTTTAGAGATATTGAATGTGTACATCCGCAACTGACACTGTTTTTTATTATTTGCATAATTATCAGAGTAATTCATAAGCGTCATAAGATGTGTTCACACTATATTTGAATAACCGATAAGGCCCCAAAAGTGAACTGAAAATTATTAGATTATTGTACATTTTGGAACAAAATAGGTATTCTTTATTATAGAAGATATGGAATGAAATGAATGTATTTACTTTTTTAATAACGGATTTAGACTACATTATTCATAGCAACTAATATAAAATAGTTATTAAACTAGTTGGTATTGGTATTTTGCCATGAGGCAAGTTACATGAACTTCCCGATATTTGTAAATAATCGACGTAATCAACAAAATATGAATTAATTCATGAGTGATTAAAAGTATTATGAGTGGATTTATTACACACCATTGAAAGCGAACAAACACGTTAACTCTGAGTATTATCTAAAAGCAACTTTTCAAAAATCAATAATTTTTATTATTGAACCAGTATCCGTAGCACTTTAATGATTTAGTATGTTCATTAAAACCAAGTACTCTTATGTTATACCAAATAAATCGTATAATTTTAATTTTTACAAACGCCAAAAAAACTACTCATTTTCTCAAACTTTGATGAATTTTTTAAATTAAACTACTTGTCGTAAGGTCGTAATATTTCAGTAAGTTCTATAAGACCATGATATATAGCCAAAAAAGTTCCATAAAAATCGACTTAATTTTTTTTCATCAGTTAATTACAAGAAAACGGCTCGGTAGATTTTCACCTAAAACTAATCAGTATCTGTCAGTATCATTCCCAATTAATATCTTTCGAACAGTTTTTAATTTTTTGGAATCGATTCGGTAGTATGAACTTAAATGTGGAAGAGAAGTTTAACACTTTTTTCCAGATTACAAAGAAACTAAGATAATCCTCATCGAAATACATCAAATCTCTGAAATCGGTTCAAGCGTTTTTGAGCAAACGTCGATGAAAGGTCTAATTTTGACAAACGCCAAAAAAACAATACTAATTTTTGCTAAGTTTGACGAATTTTTAAAATTAAACGACTTGTCGTAGGGCCGTAATATTTTAGTGTGATCTTTAAGACTATGGTATCTACCGACAAAAAAAATTCATAAAAATTGTCGAAAAAAATTTTTGACACTTTATTGCACGAAAACGACCCGGCCGATCTCTACCAAAAACTAATCAAGTCGATTCCCAACCAATATCTTTCGAACGGTTTTTAAATTTTCAAAATTGATTCAGAATTGCGGGCTAAACGTGGACGAAGAATTTTTCACTTTTCTGCTATTTATAAAGAAACGGTTTGGCTGATCTTCGGGCAAAATTGATAAACGCTAGTATTCATCGAGATACTCAAATGGCTTCTAAATTTTTGAAATCTATCCAGCCGTTTTTGAGAAAACGTCGATTTACGGCAAAAAATCTGTTTATACACACACACACACACAGACACTTTTTCCAAATTTGGTTTCATTCGATTCAGAATGGCTTGAAACGTCCAGGAAACATAAAATTAGCGAGTCGGATTTTTTGATGAAAACATAAACTTCTCCTTCGGGAAGTTAATAAGATTTATTATCATTTAAGGAAATCAGAAAAGGTTTGATAAAAGAAGCCGCTTTCAAATATTTGCAATGAGCCAAATGATAAGTTGAGAAGATAAAAAATAGTATACCAAATTTATTCAGAGAGTTGTTTAAAATATCATTTGAATAGTCTAAATAGCAGAGAGGGCAGAGAGGCAGTTATGATATCTAAATATACCAGCGTTGGTTTATACAAGTCTTATCATGAGTCAATTTTCCACATAGGTTTTCATAAAAATGAAACATGAATTAAATTATTAAGTTAAAACAATTCTCATTCATTAATAAATTTATCGTTCGTGAATGCCTTACATTGACCCAGTCCTTGTGGCTCTGCAAGTCGTCGACGCTCAGGGCGAGCAATTTGGTGTTGCGCTTGACGAAGTGTGGCTGGTGGACGGCCATGCGGCCTAACTCCGTTGTGCAGACGGGTGTGAAGTCAGCTGGATGGGAAAAAATCACGACCCAACTAGAAAAATTACAAAATGTTAGGCAAGATGTCGAAATTTATATACAATTTATAAAACAGTAACACTGTGCTTGTTATAGGAAATATTTTAGATATATTAGTCAAGTTGTAACTCTTTGGCAATTATTTAAGCAGATCAGACACAGATGCACAGTCAACGGACCAGGTTAGTCGGAAGGTATGCATGTTGCGCTTATTGTTAGTCAAACTGGTGATCGGGTCGAACACTTCGGTCATTCTCACATAGTATACAACAAATATAAAAAAACTAGCTGTAAGTGGAATTCTGTCTTAAGGCAATTAGGGCGTCGTGCCTTAAGGCATATTGCTGGAACTTCCCGTACCGCAATTCAAAATTCGAGTAATTAAAAATAATCAATAATAATAATCAATAAAAGTTGATCAATGATTTGAAACTTTTAATAGAATTTCGAACCATATTAAATCACTCTATCTTAAATCATTTATTTTGAAATATTTTGGAAATTCTGATTTTTTTTTTCAAAGCAATCGTACTGCTTTAACTGCATAAAGACGAAATATCAAAGCGCGTAAGCGCCGCTTCGCCGCCTAACGCGTAAACATTGGTACGGAACCCATAGGAATGTAAATAAAATTTATACTTATTGTTAAAATCTCTATAAAAAATCTGATAATTTGATGTGCATATGTCTAATGGTCATTTTCACCATCAAATGGCATTTTTTTTTACTTTTTTCATTAGATCTCCGAAAACGCTAGACCTGCCTTCATGAAAATTTGATCATTTCTTCATCTTGTCAATACAAGTAAAATGTTTTTTGAATTATTAAAATCTGACACTCCGTTCTCATAAAAACTGTGTTTCTATTTTTGGCACGTTTTGCCCCGTATCTTCGGAACGGTTAGACCTGCCTTCGCCAAAAACTAATCAGCCCGTCTCCTTATCAATACAAATCGAATGTTTTTTGAATTATTCAAATCGTTTGATCGGTGTTCCCGAAATCGTCGACGAAAATTTGTATCCGAACATACATACATACACGCGCACACACACACACAAATACATTCATTTTTTCTAAGGTATGCCAAAATGTTCAGAAGGTTTTGAAACATAAAGATATATAAAGATATATAAAAAAAAATTTCATTTTTTTGCGATTACCTACTATAACTTGCCCTACGGGAAGTTAAAAATCCAATCATTTACTGTGTTAATAATTATCCATGAAAATATATTATAAATTGAAAATAACACTTCTAAGGAACTAAGAATTACAATAACAAATTAGAATTCTTAACACTCTTACGCAAAGGTCATCAAGGGCTTATGGACGACACGCGGGTTAATTATTTTAATCTAAAATTTCTTTTATCAGACAGTTTCAGTCTGCAAAGACTACACCTTAATATAAGCAATTTCATTGTATTGATTTCTCATTCAAAACCGCATTTGTGCTAAATTAAATAAATATCTTAATTAATAAATTAATTAAATATCAAGCAAAAATTTTAAACGTTTATATTTAAAATCTGTTGTTCAACTTTGATCATTATTCGTTGATCTATAGACTTTGATACAATTTATAGTAATAAAAAATATTGAAAGTGAACTTTAAAAATGAGATTAAAGTGAATTTGAAATAAAAAAGTGAAATAGGATAAAAGAATAACATATTATATTCTATTGGTCTATGACTCTATATTGAAATTATAATATTTGACATTATGGATATATCAAATAGTCTTCTAAGATATATTTTCCAATAGACCAATGTATGAAAGTAAAAAGAAATACATATCATTGAACCATATTTCTTATTCATGGATGGAATAATTGTATGATTTTTTAATATGATTTTTAAACAGCAATCAGCAACCCAAACTGTTGTCTTTTCTCTAGGCTATGAATTTTATTACTACAAATTTCTGTAATAAAGCAAATATTTTATTGATGCAGCAATGCCGGATAAGGGGCATTTTCACTTGGAAACATACTGCTATCTATATTTATAATTGAAAACAAATGTCATGTTTTTCTGAGTGATATTTTATCTGAGTACCGTTTTTGCAACTTACAATTTAAATGGTTTGCTATAAATAACTCGGCTATTTATAATAATTTTCTATCATTTAAATGCGATATTTAATAAAGCACTACTGCAAGAATAAATACTATAAACTTCTTTTTGGAGAATTGAGAGCTAAAGAGCTAATAAAATAATATATGTACTATAAGGAATATAACGATAAGTATATGAAATCAAACAAAAAACGAATTATAGGAATACATGTAATAATCTTATATATAAAAATGGAGCTCTCGATAAAATAATCCGCTAAAACTCGAAAACGGCTAAACCGATTTGGCCATTCTTAGTCTTGAAAAATTCGTGCTAATCAGTAGGTTGTCGGAAAGGTGAAATACTATTTCAAATTCGCGTAGAAACTTTACATTTTGAATTTGAAAATTTTTGTAGAAACGTAATTTAAATAAAACAATGGTCGGTGCCTAATACGTCAAATGTCAAACGTTTTTGACTATGACTTATCTTTGAAAATCCATAATAAAAGTATTTTCTTTCGTTTGCAGTTTTTTAGCATTAGTTTAAAAATGTAATTATTTTGTAAAATACCTTTTAATTAAAATAAGACATTAAACCTGT